GGTGCACGGCCGGCCTAGAGCATCAACAGCTGTTATAACCTGTTTCTGCGGTCATCCTAGCGTGCCAGGAGTATTAGATAGAACTTGGAAGTACTACCCATTCCAAGGACAAACCCAGCTGAAGTCCTTCTGCACATGCCATCGTCTTTTCGTCAACACTTTTGTTTCATCTCTTCATTCTCAAAGGATCTCTTCAAAATACTTTACTTAATGACTATACTAATGACTACCTAATGACTATACTAATGACTTTACCTAATGACTAAATATCGGACTTTACAAGTTTGCCGCGCAGCTTTCACAAATGACTGACTTTTTCGTATCAATCGGACCCAGAATGCTTGTTATCGGATCTTATTTTTCACCGGGAATACGCTTTTTTATTATAATAGATTTTGAAGTCGCGAGGGGGAAGGATGCTGAGCTTGTGGTCCTTAACCCTGGGTGGGCTGGTCATCCTCCTCTTCAAGTTCTTGCAGTCGCTCCTTTTCAATAAGAAGAGGTCCGACCGGCCGATATTCTCGTTGGCCGACGTCCGACCCCTGGCCCCTCACGTGGCCAACCAGAAACTCAGGGACAAGGTCCTCAAGCAAGGTACGCATGCATCGGTCGTTTGCGTTCTCGCGTGGCGATGCCTCTCTTGATGTCCCTTGTGATATTTCTCGTCGCCTGTCAGGTTTCTCCTCCGATGAAGTACCCCATGACCTCGATGCGATCGTGATCGGGAGTGGGATCGGGGGATTATCCGCAGCCGCTCTCCTCGCCAAGGCCGGGAAGAAAGTTCTCGTTCTCGAACAGCACGACCAGGTTCCTTGCTGTTCTAATCATCATTATGCTAATTAGAATATAGTTGCCGCAGAGATGACGTTACACATGGGTTTGCGAGTTATACCTACATACTCTCCTCCCCTAGCCGAAACTATATGGGGTTGAAAGAATGTTGATACCACGCGCGGAAGAACACTTTTTTTTGTACTGTTATGATGATGGTCTTGTAATTCGCTTGCCACGTCTAGTAGTCCCTGTGTCACGTATGTGTGTCTGGTAGTCTTGGCCCTTTCGCGAAAAAAAAAGACTCTTGCTTTAACCATTTCACGGTTAACCATTTTATGGATTGGGAATGGGTCCCGCTATTTCAGCTGCACTACATTGCTCAAGATTCACCGATTATAAACTAGTCATCGGGTAGATTGCATTACTGTGATGAAGCTGACATAACTGAAAGTATTTCTTAGGCAAAAGCTGGAAATTTCTTGACAGTTGGTGCCATGGGGCATGAAAGGTCCGAGAAGAGCAGAAAACGATTACCAGATTTTCCTTAAAACCAAATGACTTCACCCCTGAGAACATGAACTTCTTGAAATTTAAATGTGCTCTTGAAAGTTAAATGTAATCCGTGGATAAATTTCCATGGCAATATAATTTTAACTCTTTATTTAAAATGGTCTCCTATTACATTTCATTTACGAGAAGAGAGTGATTTCAAAACGAGTTCTGGCATCAGACATATTTATGAATCTGTAAGTTTCGCTAGTTTTATGCCTGATATGAATATAAAATAGCTATTAGGTGAGAACAATACATCAACTACGACTTAAAATGTATCCTGTGGGTCTGGTATAGTCCAGATGCTTATTGCAATTAATGACTTATCAATTATGTGCGAAAGCTAAATCTGCTTACCAATTGAACTTAATCAGATGATGAAACTGTATAAAAAATGCTGTGTCGTCCTCCTGCAGGCGTCTGTGCAGAAAGAAAATTCACCTTTCCCATAGGAAATTCATGTAGAAATTTGTTTTTGATTTGGTTATCGAGAAGGTGGGAAGGCTTGAACTTAGTGGATTTTGGAGGGACTTAACCCAAAGATCTCTTTTGACACGTCATATCACCGACTATATAAGTTCATCTCACGAATAGAAAAATGTAGCAGAAGATTCGGTGCATCAGCATTTTGTAAATGGCGGTGAATGGCGTCAAAATTGGGCATCTGTGTAGTTCATGATCACGTTTTTCGTTTTACTGGCTCAGTTGTGTCTTGTAGTCAGCTAATGTTGGATTTGATTATTTCCTTCTCCAGGCTGGGGGATCCTGCCATACTTTCATCGAAAAGGGCTACGAGTTTGATGTCGGAATCCACTATGTCGGGGGTTTTGAGAAAGCAGAGCACAATCGGGTTCTGTTTGACCAGCTCACCGATGGTCAACTGGAATTTGCCCGCACAGGTAGAGCTCTGCTATGGCAAATATTTTGATCGAGTTCCTTAAAATATCACATAGGTGAGAAGGAATGAAGGAAAAACGCAAGTGACTGAATGAGACGTATTGTTCGACAGACCCAGTTAACGACGTGGTGAAGCTGCGGTACCTGTCTGATAAGAAAGCTACCTATGAATTCTGCTGCCCTAAGGACAGGTGGATTAGCACCCTGAAGAAGGAATTTCCAGGGGAAGAGGAAGCCATTGACAAGTAGGCCCACTAAAACTTCTAGTACTGGCCTCTTTAATAAATTGACCCACTGTAACTACTGCACAGTAAACCAACCTCTGCTTGAACAGTTTCGTCGGATACATATCTGAGGCCAAAAGAGGGACGATAGCAATGGGAGTGGTGAAGTTCCTTCCTCTCTGGTTGGCCAAGATTGTCATCAAGCTAGGAGTCATCGACTGGTTCATCCCTTACACTAAATGGGCATCAAGATCCATTCAGAGCGTCCTTGAGGTACACCAGCCTCTCACTGCACATCTTTCAACAGCCGAGAATCATATCATAAAGAGACATAAGCTGAGATTAGTTGTTGTAAAGACATAGACATAGATATAGACATAGACATACACATAGACATAGACATAGACATAGACAGACATTCATTGTGTGGCAAAGAATTGCATAGACAGCACTGTGATACTAACGCGGAAATATGACGGGAGAATGTGTTGTAGTGCCCACTGCAAAAATCCTTCATTGGGGTGAGGTTCTGGTTCAAATAGTTGATGAGGATTTTATGCGCATTTTCATTGTCAGATGACATGAGCGAAGCGTATTTCTGACGATTGGAATGACGCCAGAAATAAACTGGTAGGAGCTTACGATTATGAAAATATACTGGGCATGTAAGAAAAAAAAACAGCATTCGTCCTCCGCTTCCTTCAGTGAACACTAAATACAGAGTCTTCCTGTGTCGTTCTGCAGGCAATAGTCGTGACCGTTGAGCTTTTACGTTCAGCGGAAAAATTCGTCCTCAGGCGTTGAAACTATGTATGCATATTCAAATAGGTTTCAAATTTCAAATACAATTTAAACAATAGATATATATATTGTATTGAATATATTTGGAAGATGATTCGGCATGGGACTTTAATGCATTCAGGAATAATCAGCAAAATACCGGTACTCTCAGGTCCCAACCCGATATTACAATATGGCGAGGGTATAGTCCATATATTTTATTCTTTACACTCTCCAGTCCCAGAAGAATCACACAGGAGTTCAGCGGAGTCCAACTTCCAGCACACTAACACATTTTATTTTTTTTCATGTCGCTTTTGATGCTTCAATGCGAAGCAGTAACTCATTTGAATATCATTGTGAAATTCGACTTTCTTATTTCTATATTTGAGGAGGAACAACTATAGCTTCAAGCATGACTTTTTTCTTCATTCTTCCAGGAACTCACAGACAACAAGGACCTAAGGGCTGCCTTTACCTACATATTTGGCGACTTTGGAGTTCTACCCAGTGAAGCTGGCTTCAACCTCCTGGCCCTCCTTCATGACCACTTTTATGAAGGTTGAATTTTTTTCTCTTTGATTCACAGGATCAGAGATCTTTTTATCGCTAGTCCCACTCCAGGAACAGGAATATATAGGAGAAAATACGAGTATATACAACATACCTCCGAAAAAATGGGGCCAGTTTGTTTATTTTTAAATTATTCCATCAATATCATGCGAGCCTGAACTTTTCTACACATTATATCTTAATGGAGGAGAAATAGTTCTGCCAAGTTTGATAAAACTCCATACTGTACATGATATGCGACAACTTTCAAGTATGAAGTACCCAAATCTGTTGAGAACAAGCAATGTGTCAAAACAGATCCATGCTACATATGCTACTTTGGCAAGCTCTAACATTACTGAGCACCGGCATTAAGCTGTCTTAGTGGAGTTGATTTTTGAAAGCACTTATGGTGTTATTTTGGCTGCATGTGTTATGCATTTTTTCAAAATTAATCGTTATTCTTATTTCCTGTTACCAAGCTCTCCCTTGTAGTTTTGGTGGCTTCCTGAATCGTGATTTTTTAAATGAGGAGCAACTTGAGAGCAGATGTACCTGGCCACAAAAAATTGTAATCTTTTAATTTCAAAAGTGGAAAGAAACTATGCGAATCATAGCATAGAGTAGGGAAAAATGTATCAAACCTAAAGTTTTAACGTAATATACATTTGCCTTATTCATCTGTCATCTGAAGCAAGAAGCTTACACAATACCAGTTGGATATATATTAGCAAAAGAACTAGTTATACTGTTTGTAGATAGGATCAAAGTTTAAGTAAGTGCTATGGAATGGGTCCAAAATCGGATCATATTATCATGTTTTAGAAAAAGCAAGATGTTTCACCCTGTTTACATTTATGTTTAAAAAATACCATGAATAGTTGTAGTTCATGCTCTTAAGTATCATGCGAGCATGTTTCCCACTGAGTTATCTAAATGATTGATAGGTATTCATTTTCCTCCAGTCTTGATTGATCTGTGCTTCACGATGGTTGGGGACAGTGTCGCTCATTTTTGTGTAGAATAATCATCTAGGGTTCGAGGTTCATTGAAGGTTATATTCTCTCAACTTGTCAACATGTGTGGCGTCCTTGTTTAAACCTATTACTTTGACTCTTCTCCAAATGGAAAAGTGTATCGAAGTTTGATCGGGAGATCTAGCCGCCATTCCACTCCCTTTCGCCTTCCTGTCCATCTGCGTTCAAAAGTTTCATTTCAGAGAAACTGTTATTATGATGTTACCCTCGTATTGTTAAACTGTCGTGCTCCCCAAGCATGTAATTGTACGTTTTGTATTATTCTAATAATAGTGAAATCGTTTCCGTAAATTAATACTCATGGATAACTTATATAATGTGAATGACAACTATTAACATCTGCTTCTTCCTTTACGTACACTTCAGAGCGTGCTTTTTCCTCCCTGTTTAGTTAGATATTTCCAAAAGATATTCTCTGATTTAGTTTCAGACCCGTGAGATATAAGCACATATATATCAATATATACCCTTGGAACCCTGCTTTGACGCATTTATTGATGAATTCTTGCATACATAGGATCTGACCCCCACCACAGAGAGGGTGTTTAGGAAATATATATCATTTCATATTTGTAAAATGACTGTAACGTTCCGTAACGTTATGTAATTTAAGTCATGAATTCATTTCCTGAGGAAAGGTAGTACGTGTTTATTATGGTGCTTCCCAGCAAGGAGCACCAAGGACGAGAATGCGATATTTATTAGGATATGGCGATGTTTCATCAGCAACTCTCAGAAGTGCTCACCTTATCTTATTTACATGATATGAAGATAAGCTTCCCGCAGATGTTTGGCTCCTCTAGAAAGTCAGAAGAGGAAACAAAGAAAAACGTATTTCATTTGAAATTATTTCATTATTACGCCCATCTCAGCCATTCATTGAGAACTAGTGGGTTAGCTTCGAAGGAGAGGACGATAGGGTAATTTGGGGGAATATGGCCCTACAAAATGAAACCTGGTCATCATGGTCCATCAAGGTTATTTAGACTTTCACAATGTTTCTAAAATATTGATTGATATCGCCTTTGCTAAATGCCAGCAAGGTGTATGCAAAAAAAACATGTTTTTTTTTTCATACATTCCCCTTTGTTTTACGTTTACATTTCCCTTGTCAACCAACTAGATTGTAGAATTAACGTAGGTATTTGGTCTGAAGTCAGACATTAGAATGAAGACGGAGCCCATTTTGAATATGAAGGTGCCCAGTAAGAGTAAGTATGTATGATCTGGCATGCAGGGGCCTACTACCCGCGAGGAGGAGCATCGGAGATAGCGTTCCACATCATCCCCGTGATAGAGAAATCAGGCGGGAAGGTCCTCGTGCGTGCCAATGTGAAAGAGATCCTCCTGGACGAATCAGGTACCAGGGCCATGGGTGTGGTCGTCCAGAAGGGCTCTGGTTCCGTCAACGTCACTGCCCCGATTGTCATCTCCAGCACAAGTAGGTTCACGTGCATTAACTCCTTTTTTGTGTTTAGTGCTGATAACATTAGCTTTGTACAATATCGCCAGCTGTTAGGTTTGGTTCTTCATTGGTAAGAAGCTTGTTTCTCAAGAAGTGTGTGATGAATATTTGCAAAATAGGTGAAGGATCGAGGGTGTTTAAAAAAAAATTTGGTGGAAAGAATTGCTTGGCGTTACAGAATATTTTTATTCTCTAGAGTTCCCTTCGATTGTCGCTCAAAATCGAAAAAACTATATAACAAGGGGAAGGTGCTTCATGCAACAGGTCTTTAAAAGTGTAAGTTTTGTAATGATAGGGATGGCATTGAGAGGCACTGGGCTCGGTGGTGCAATGGTAGCACATCTGATTGGCAATCAGGAGGCTCTGATTCAATTTCCGGCCGTCCCCTGGCTTTTTTTCGTCCTCTTTTGCCATTCAACTTTCCCTACCTTCGGTCCTCACGTTACGGTTTAATAGCATGAAGTTCCTATAATTCCGATGATTCAAGACAGAGAAAGTAGAGGAATGCTCATTTTTGCCCTTTTAGGCTTTTCATTACCTTCACACATAAGCTAAAGAAAAGGGATTCAATCATCTCACAAGATGTCCATCGCGACAATTTTGCTATATTTATGGAGTAGCTGATTTTTCAAAATCGATGTCCTTTCATTCATACTTGGGATGGGATTGATACACGGCTTCAGCTGTAGCTCTTCTATGGTTGTCTTGAATAGGCGTGGTTGCATGGGAGATAATGCAGAGTCCGTAATATTGTCTTTATAAGCTTTTCAGGGTAAGTCACATTTGTTTATGTAAGAAGAGTTATGATTCGGTCGTCTGCGTAAACTATACCTCATCACAATTTTAGCCCTCATGCAAGAATCTTGTTTGCAGAGTTTAAGCTTTGTTCATACCAACAAATGAAATCGAAGCCCACTACCTCATTTAAAGCAATTTAAAAAAATGAATATTATATATTATTATAATAAATGATATCATGTGCGCCTAGGTAACGGAATAGGGATGCAAGTTGAGCCTTCCCCCAAATTAAAATTTTCCCAAGTGAGGATACTGTAGTGCTTCAAGTGTTACTTGGTGAGTATTCATCCAGGAGTGCTGTAACTATAATGTTAATGGTTTTCGTGTTTGTGACGAGCATTAATATTTATTTTTAAGGTTCGCTGTTCTACTTTAGATACGCGGTCTTGTTTCTCCCATTTTTGGGTTCATGAATGTTGGAATTCCGTGAGCTAGAAAGAGTAGAACAATGGCTTTTATTTCTTGCCCCCCATAGTAAATTAACTTTTCCCAAGCTTACACGAGGAAGAGGTTACTCTTACCCTACCGACTCGGGGTGATTGGGGCCCCAAGACTTGGGACAAGAGGAGGATTGGACACACCGTAGTTTCGACTCTCCGAATGTCTAGCTGTTAAACATTGAATCCTTGTGAACACCATTGCTGAGGTAAATTCCATCTCCCCGAAAGGAAACCTTGTTGTCATGAATCATTTAGATTTCCTGGGTATGTTGAAGGTGTGAGGGAAGCAGGCCGACAGACTTCTTCCAGCCGGTTCATTTCAAGTTTAATTCCCTAACACCTGTGTCCATTCACAGTGCCTTTCCCTGATGGGTGTTGTCGTAGTTTCAATTCTACGCTTAAAAAATTCGCATTCTCTGTCTCCTTTCTTGGAACGGATGAAAATTAACTGGAATGTTGTAGAAGTTTCCCTGTGTCTAATCCCTGCAGACGGATTTACTGCTCAATTTTCTGCATTAGAATGAACTTCGAGTGCAGGAAAAAGAGTGAACTTGATTTTGTTTGCATTTAATGCTGCCATGTTATTGAGATCCGTGACCCGCTATGAAATGCCGCCTGTGGATCTGTGGGTTGGTTACCCTTGGGAAATGACACATTAAATTCAAATTTCATAAGTGATGTCTCTCCAAATAGTCAAGGGCTGCATTTTTTATGTCGAAATCACAGGTGTCAAGGTGACGCTGACAAAGCTTCTGCCTGAAGAAGTTGGAAAGCGAGCTATCCAGTACCCAGTCCTGTCTCGAGTGAGGCAGAGCTTTGCCTGCTTCCAAGTCTTCCTTGGCCTCAATGCATCCAATGAGGAGCTCAAACTGACTGCACAGAACTATTGGTGCTTCATCGACAACAACCTCGAGGAGGCAAGTGTACACGTCTTGGTTTATGGAGCTGACGGATGAGAACAAGATGCATATGGAAATTTCATTTTCCCCCTTAGCTTTGCCTGGCGTACAATCGGAAGACCGCCGAGGAGGCCCTGGACGCTGATATCCCTCTCATGTTCGTCTCCTTCCCCTCCGCCAAGGACCCGACCCACGACCAGAGATATCCAGGTTAGCACCATGGTTTGGGACTGCAACATGAAGGAAAGAATAAAAATTCGGGGAAACCGATAGAACTCATTCCTATCATTATCGAACAGCTGTCGAGTAAAACCGTGGATTCCAGAATTCCAGAACCAATTGTTTTTGGAAATTCTTACCATGAGTGATGGGGATTTAAACGTTTTTTAAAGGAACAAAATTTTCTGACTAACCTAAGCTAGGGTCAGTTTTGCAGCTTGGAAATGAGGATCTTTTGGCTTTTCTGCTTGGAATTGCGTTTGAGCGGGACTATAACTCATTACTCATCACTACTACGCATGCTTATCCGGTTACTAAGAGTTTTTACAGCTGGTTCCATACTATGACAGTGATGCTTTTTTGCAAGAAGGGGTGAATGTGAGAATATCTACTGGCCTTTCTTGGAGGATAATAAAATGTCTAAAGTGGATGAAACATCATGCTGCGACTGGGCTGCAATTTACTTAATCATATTGAACATTCCACGATCAAGATTTCAGCATACATGAACGTTTTTGGTGCAGCTTTCTTATAGCTCTCCTCCGAGTTTCCCGGTTTTCCGTTAAGATGAACAGAGATCATGTATGGAAAATGGATAAAACTGTTAAAATGGTTAAATTATGCAAATATATAAATGCAAGTTGTCAAATATATACAGTAAGAACTTGATGAGAGCAGAAAGCTAGCAAGAGATCCGTGTATTAAACGACTTGCCCTTACAGCAAAAAACCCTTGCCCTTCAGTCTCAAAGAAGATAGAGAACTGAAATGCTCTTGCCACAGGAAAACTAATCCTATCAGCTGTGGTGGCACCCGTGGGGAGCAAATGTGGCCTTCCGCAGCCGATCCTATGGGATTAGTTTTCCTGAGTCGTAACGCTTGAGTTCCTTCACTTTCGTGGCATTGAAGGCTTTGGTTGCGGTAAGGGCAAGTCGTTTAATACACGGATGGGACGTGCATGAGGCTTAAAAAACTCCGAGTCATTGTTTCGTAGGCAGAAGCTATTGTGCTCCAAAGGGTGAATATTTTGCACTTTCCAAGCAACATTGAGTGTCATTGCAATCTTGTTTGGGTAATTTAACCGGACTTCGAAGGAGTCCTTAGAATTGACATGCAAAAGTTTGTCTCATTATGCTCATGTAGTAAATTATAATGTAGAATAGTAGTAGTAATGTAGAATTTCACATGAATCCATTTCGAAGCTGTTGCCTGAGGCAGAAATATGTAAAGTCATGGCATTGCTCCCACAGTCACTATTATAAATATTTTCCGGTATTCCATTCGTCACCAAGGGACACGCCAAATGTAACGGAAATCCTAGGTTTTCACTTCTTCGAAAAGCCCATTTTTGCTCAATATTTTTTGTGCACGCACTCAAAAACAAAATATAATAATGTGAACATATCCAACTCATTATATGCTACCTTATGGGACACTTCAGCTCCAGTTCAAGTCTGATAAAATATCCTCAAGAAATACTGTTTAGTCAACATCAGAATAAAGATAGTTTCATTCCAATGTTCACCCTCCAATGCTCTGGTTTAGGGTATTCCTTTCTTAACGGTTTAAAGCGTCTGCGATCCCATGCAATCTCTAGGGAAGGCAACATGCGCCCTCATCACGTTCTTCGAATACGAATGGTTTCGCTCATGGGAAAAAGAGAACTTGAATCATCGGGGTGACCGTTACGAGGAGATCAAGAAGACCATCGGCCAGAGGCTCATCGACCAAGCATGCAAGCTCTTCCCACAGATTCAGGTAAATTGTTGTGGGTTCTGTAGCTGGTAACTTCGCATATTCAATATTGCTAAAAGGGAATTACCCCTTTCAGGACAAGATCGACCTCGTCGTGATTGGCTCTCCATTGAGTCACAATTATTACCTTGGAAACACCGTGGGAGACATTTACGGCCTCCATCACGACATGGAACGATTCAAACTCGAGACTCAAGCCATTCTCCGCCCCGAGACCGGCATCCCAGGTATGAAAGTCTTCAGCGTTTTTTTCCCCAGTGGAATTCTTTGGAAGTTCATCAAAGTTTCATCAGTTCTTCGTGTCTATTCGTGAAACAGGTAGGAAAATATAAACCATTTACATATGTGAAAGTCATGAAATGATTTCTTGCATGAAATATGAAAAATGCGTACATTTTGGACTTTTAAATACATTTATAGTGAAATTCCCTTAAAACTCACTTTTTGCTGAGAAAACAACGGCACAGACAGGAATCTTGGGAGAAAATTCACGATTTAAGCATTAATGGCCTCAAATTAAAGCTGATTCTGTTATAAATATTGAGGTAAGAGGGTGTAATAAACTAAAAATCTTAAGGACTCCATACTGTGACCTTCATTAAGAGTCCAATTTTCAAGAAGTAGCAATTTCGTTGAAATGGACGTGCCCCATTTCCAGATATCTGCAAAGAGGTAGTTCATGTTCATAGCCTTGCTCCAACGAAGCAAAATCAGGGTGATATTTCGATGAATTTCATAAATTCGTCCCCAGCCTTTCTGTTGCACATTTCTGGCCCACCACTGAGAAATCCATAGCAACTTTCATCGTCCGAAAGAACTTTGCCCGATTCCCTTCTGTGAATTGATCCTCGCCATTCTCCTTGATGCCTTCACATCTGACCTGCTCCAAATATTTCGCAGCTGACTTTCGCTTCTTCAGGAAACACAATAGAAAATCCCGGTTATTGCGCTCTGTGAGAATCTCCGGCCTGCCACTGCCAAGTTTTCCTCCCACTGCGTCTTTCTCCTTTGACCAAGTTACAATTCTGCATTCCCGAATGCGCTACTGCCATTCCCTTGATTTTTAATTTATTGGCGACCCGTTTGTACGTGACTCCAGCTTGTACACTCTCTGACGTCGAGTGCCTCCTCGCCCTCCTGGGCACGGAAAATCTTGAGATGGAATCCATCACGTTGACTCATCCTCGCCTGACATCAGGCGTCTGTAAAGCCGGAGGGGCGATAAGAAATAAAAGGGAAAATTTTAAAATTAAAAGTTCGGCATGATCATTATACTGTCTAAGATAACTAGATGATAGTAAATGGCACAACCTGCATCTTTTTTCTTGTAGGGCTAGGATAGCCCTGCGGCGCATTGTATTTTATGCTTCCGAGGGTATACAACTCGATTATCAGAAAATACTCCTAGCAATATTTACTGCTGCATGCTAGAGGAAGTCTTGCTTAAGCATCTAAATCCACGAATGATTTAGGATTGCTGTTTCAGTCTCCAGTCGTTTTCCAATAGATGGCATTTTTTAGAACGTGCGAACCGAAAATGATTTCCCGCTCGCCATTAGCAAAGTGTTTCCTTCTTTTCAGGCCTTTACCTGTCCGGGCAAGACGTGATGAGCTGCGGCCTGACGGGAGCGGTGTTCGGGGGAGTCTTCTGCGCGTCCAAGATCCTCGAGCGCAACCTCATGAACGAGCTCGACAAGCTCGCGAAGGAGGCGAAGAGGCGAGAGGGGAAATCCCAGGAGGCCAAGGCCTCCAAAGGGGAAAGGAACGGAGCGGTCATGAACGGATTGCACGGGTGATGGTGGCCAGAGTCTTCTCACCCTCAAGTTTGGAATATTAATTCCTTCAGTAATGAATCATTTCAAAGGAGGCCAAGGCCTCCAAAGGGGAAAGGAACGGAGCGGTCATGAACGGATTGCACGGGTGATGGTGGCAAGAGTCTTCTCACCCTCAAGTTTTGAATATTAATTCATTCAGTAATGAGTCATTTAGGCTTCTTTTCCAGATTCGTTTTGCTCGAGAACTTTCACAGTCTCACGGGTAATTTCCTAGAAAGTATCAGCTGTTCTAGTTGAGCGAAAATCGTCTGACTGGATCATCTCCCTCAGGACAAACTCCTCTTGATTGAATTTATGGGTGAAATAAGCGTAAACTGATGGACGAATATTTTCAGTCATCGTGTCCGATTGGGCACGTAATAAGAGCGAAAAACGTCTGACTGGATCATCTCCCTCAGGACAAACTCCTCTTGATTGAATTTATGGGTGAAATAAGCGTAAACTGATGGACGAATATTTTCAGTCATCGTGTCCGATTGGGCACGTAATAAGCGAATGGGCTAACACTCCATCATTTCGCTTTCTTACGCGCTTTACTCCGTTCATACTATATTAATCCTCACATTTTTCGTTATGTCGCCTATATTTTCTGAAATAAAATTGCATGTTACCCCATCAGTAGCTTAATTAATTTTGTTTGGAGAAAGGCGAAACGAAGTCTCCCTGATGTCGTTGGTCATTGTCCTCATGGACACTTTGGGACATTGAGTATGGCAGTATTCTCAAAAAAGAAGAGCCACAGAAAGCCACGTTGGCCCAACGTGATCCTCCAGTGTGAGGACAGGTCGAACCTACGTCGTTCATCCGAGTGCATCCAATGTGAAAGTGGCCGTTGGCCATTAACGTGGGGTCTATGTTGACAATGATTGATCCAGCGTAGAGCCCATTTCATTCTCATCAATTGAAGTCGGAACTCCATTAGATCTAGCGTTGACGTATTCAACGTCAGTTGATGATGGAATTGTTTTCCAAGACTAATTTCTATTGATTGCATCGATTTAATATTAATCCCGGAGTTACAACACATTGTTGACTTGATGACGATGACAAGACAGGCATCCATGAAATAAGTCGAAATCTACACATTAAACCTTCAAGGCGCATAGAGCTCGTATTGTAGTGGCAGCTGAGCTGACTAAAACACAAATTTCGAGTTTCTGTCCAACTTCGTTCACGTCAGTCCAATTCCGACGTCCAAAGGTGGATCAGTTCCAGAATCGTAAAGAATCGTAAAAAAGTACCATGAGCTCCACGAGATTCATGTATAGAAGGGAGAAATGGGGGAGAAGGGGGATGGCGACGGGGAGAAGGGAGCCTTCGATTAGGCCGCAGAACGGCGACAGGAGTTGAAGAATTTCTTCTCTTCTTTGTCCAGAATGGCATGAAGACTATAAATATTGGATGTAGGACTTGGATTCCTGCTAGTTTCATCGAGGAACTCCACTGGGAAGCATCCACTCCGTCGGGAATCGCTTTCGTGAACAAAAGTGTGAAGTGCTTCGAGTCTTTAAAAAGCGAGAGGAAAAGGAAGATTATTCATGAGTCTCACGAGCATTACGAGAAAGACGGCAATAAGACCCGAATCAACTAAGAATTCCCCAAGGGAATTCCACTTCATCGGTGGATCTCGGTTCGATACGAAGTACTCGAGACAAAATCGCCCGAACGATTCGCTCGAATTCAACAATTGAGGACGAGAAAGCAGGAATCCTGAAAGTGTCGATTTATGTGAGGTGCTCGAAACTAGAAATTTTGGTAAAGAAAGTGAAAATTGCTCAATAGGCATATGTGCTCTTGAAATTCAACGAGATTAGAGCGTAAACGCAATTTTCTCCACGTCAGTGATGATGCCGACGCGTCTCTGAACGCATTTCAAGAGTGAAAACCAGCAAAAATGTTTTTAAGATATCACTCAGAGAGATTTAGAGACGACAGGTTAAGTAGTTCCGCTCCAAATAACCCAGAAAGTCTTAGCCTCAAAATTCACTAAAGGTTTGAGGATCTTGGATTCCATATAAAAATTTTGCGCGCCTAGAATCCCTGAAGATATGTACGAATGAAGATTTAAAAAAATAAAGAATCGGTCATTTTCATTATTTATTAATGATTAGTACATGATTGTTCATGATGATGAGTAGTACATGATGATTGATACACATTGAAATAATACAAATGCATATCTGCAGAACTTGGATTGGACTTCTGGAGAAGATGTCAGCTTGGGTCATGAGTCATATTCTAAGATGAACTCTGATGTGAAGAGATGTCAGTTCTTCACGTGTCAGTGACATTCCCAGCTGAACATTTAAAGTCTCACTGAGTTGCACGAGGAAAAAAAATTTGAAGTCGCGCCAAAAATATTAATCCCATTGGCTCGAGGGTGGAAAACTTCATCAGTGGAGAGGTATCATCAAGAGTCGGTTGCTGGAACATGATCCACGTCGAGAACAATTATTCAAGATATCTATCAGGTCATCCCATAAGTAATACGGTTTTTTCGCATTGCTAAAGTGCATCATTAAAATAACCCCATTCTACCGGAATAACGTCTCACGGCTGCTGTTCTTCCTTGGAGGCCAGAGTTCCATACTAAATCCCTGTCGCCTTGGGTGTTCTTCAATGAGAAACACCAGCACGCAATACTCGCTCCAGGAAAAGAATGCACAGGGGAAGAATCATCCTTTCCAGATGTTTCACTACTTTCCAAAGATGATGGTTTCGGTGGAAGACTTCATTTCCGAACAGTATATCTCTGTGGTGGGAATGAGAACTTATTCATATATCTGCCAAAGTATCAGGTCATCCCAAAAGTAATGCTGTTTTTTCGCATTGCTAAACTTGTGTCTTGTTTATACGTGTATCTGTGCACATCTCATGGAATATTTCTATGCTAACTTGTGTAGACGTTAGTCATCAGTCTACGTGTAGGTTTTAGCGAGTTAACAGCGCTCCGTTTTTTTAGACGTTAAAAACAAGATGGAGGCGTCAGAGGAACACATTCGGCATATAATGCTTTATGAACTTAAGAAATGGAATAACGCGACTGCAGCCACGAAAAACATTCAAGATGTTTTTGGCGAGGAAGCTCTAAATGCGAGGAAATGCCAACGGTGGTTCCAGAAGTTCAGGTCTGGTGACTACAGCTTAGCCGATGAAGCGCGCTCAGGCCGACCTGTTGAGTTCGATGATGACCTGCAGATAGCCACACTTGAAGATTATCCTGCTAATGAGTCGATTCAAAAACGGCGTTTGAAGTTCACGAGAATGCTGTGAAGCGTAAATGTTTTCCAGATCTCTAAGATTGTCTGGTGACAACACATGTGGAACCCACTTTCCAAGTTTTGACACTTTTCCCAGCCGTTGTTTCCCGTCGTTTCCTAGCGGCAAGGAACGGAGAAATGGGTCGAATTGAGTTTCTGGGCAAGTTCCTCAATTGTTACAGCAGGATCTTCTTCAAGTGTGTCTATCAGCAGGTCATCATCGAACTCAACAGGTCGGCCTGAAAGCGCTTCATCGGCTAAGCTGTGGTCACCAGACCTGAATTTCTGGAACCACCGTTGGCATTTCCTCGCATTTAGAGCTTCCTCGCCAAAAACATCTTGAATGTTTTTCGTGGCTGCAGTCGCGTTATTCCATTTCTTAAATTCATAAAGCATTATTTGCCGAATGTGTTCCTCTGACGCCTCCATCTTGTTTTTAACGTCTAAAAAAACGGAGCGCTGTTAACTCGCTAAAACCTACACGTAGACTGATGACTAACGTCTACACAAGTTAGCATAGAAATATTCCATGAGATGTGCACAGATACACGTATAAACAAGACACAAGTTTAGCAATGCGAAAAAACAGCATTACTTTTGGGATGACCTGATACTTTGGCAGATATATGAATAAGTTCTCATTCCCACCACAGAGATATACTGTTCGGAAATGAAGTCTTCCACCGAAACCATCATCTTTGGAAAGTAGTGAAACATCTGGAAAGGATGATTCTTCCCCTGTGCATTCTTTTCCTGGAGCGAGTATTGCGTGCTGGTGTTTCTCATTGAAGAACACCCAAGGCGACAGGGATTTAGTATGGAACTCTGGCCTCCAAGGAAGAACAGCAGCCGTGAGACGTTATTCCGGTAGAATGGGGTTATTTTAATGATGCACTTTAATTGAGATCATGTGAATATGAAGAAAAAAATTATTCACGTTCATTCAAGAGGAACGCTTATAATAATTTCATGGAACTGAACGTCGCAAAGAACAGGGTTGAAATACGTAAAAATATTTCCCATGGTGGATTAGGTTTCATGGATGGTTAGCTTTTACGGTGACAATTCAATAAATTCATCTGACGAACTTCAAAACGATTTAGAACAGTCCAGCACGAAGGCCACAGCATGGATCAGATTACATCTTTCGACATTCGAAGATATATTGGGTGTAAAAAAAATCAGGAATCATAGGGAAATAACATGGCGATCATTTCCAGCCCATATTGTCTGAAACTTACAAGCTAATCGAGTTGAATCTAAAGCTCCTGAGCTCCCTTAATCCGAAAGTCTGGACCAAGTGGCCCAATACCGTGTGATCCATGGGGACCCAAAGTGGCCTAAATTGTCCAATTGACTGAATCTGGCCAAATTTCCTGAGAGTGATATAGTTTTACAAAAATTGAGGCAGTGACTAAATTTGAACCGGAGTGACACATAGTGTGACCCAATTCGACAAATGGTAACCTCCCCTGAAATTATTGGTTGTCAGAGTTGACCAAAAGGGATCCAAGGTGACCCAAACTGTTCAATAGACCCTTCATGTGCCTAATTAATCTAGGGTGAATGAAGAATGTTCAAATTGAGATAAATCGACCAAATTTGATCCAGAGTGACAGGTGACCCATGGTGACCCAAATTGACCCAAATAGTCCAATCGATCCAACTTGAGCCTCATTTTCCCAAAGACCCCGCTGCAAG